CAACATTGATAATAATCAGAAATGTTTCTCGAGCAGCAAATCAGCATATTAGAATGATTTCTGAAGATCATGTGACACTGAAGACTGGAGTAATGATGCTGAAAATACAGCTGCGCATCACAGAAATACATTACAGTTTAACAGGTATTCACATAGAAAACAGCTGTTTTACATTCTAATAATATGTCACATTTTTGACTATATTTTTGATCAAATAAATGTTTGTGCAGTGACTGTAATGAGTGTTTTTGTTACCAGTCTCCGCAGTGATCTCGATGTGGTTGTGATCTAAACGCTCGGCGCTCAGGATCAGACTGAAGGCTTGTCCTCTGCGGATGATCAGCCGCTCCACCGTGATCTCATTAGTGTGATGATCGGTGTTGTTCTTCACACACTGCAGATCCACCTTCATCACAGCTGCTGGAAACACACGGTTACTTCACTACACAACTAGTCCAGCAGGTTTATTCCAGAGTTCTTCGCGATTAGATAAATTACATTGTGACACACGCTGACAAATCATATTTCATCAGAGATGAAGATCAGGCGTGGTCAATCTGATGAGTGAAGAGCAGATCAGAAACACTGATTCCATGAGCTTTGGTTCAGATGTTTGCACTGAGAATATAAGAGCTGGACGGATCAACTCTAAACTCACACTAACATGCAGAAATCATCTGAAGATGCTGTTCACAGCGATGCCATAGAAGAACCATTTCTGGTTCCACAAACAACCATTCAGTCAAAGAACCATCTCTTTCTGAGCTTTTTAGAATCTGAAGAACCTTCTTTCGCTACAAAGAAGCTTTTGTGAAACCGAAAGGTTTTTTAGATTCTTTATGGAACCATTCAGACAAAAAGGTTCTTCTGTGGCATCACCGTGAAGCACCTTTATTTAACCATTCAGCTGTCAGTGTCACCCGTGATGAATCAAACTTTACTAGTGATTTTATCCACTAAGATATGAACAGAAATACAACTGAAGAGTAAAATCAAGAGTCTAAACTCTGTGAAAAAGTCAGTCTAACTTATAGAGCACAGATCAGAAACTAATGAAAGGTGTAGTTTAGTCTATCATAAATGATCCTAGACATCTACTAGTGTGCTAATATTCACAGAAATTGAAAATCTGAATATAGATTGAATATAGTTTGACTCACCCTGATCTCGGCTGACAGAGTTCCTGCTCCTCAGATTCTCACTCATGCTCGTCTCGTCAGATGTGTGTGTGTGTGTGTGTGTGTGTGTGTGAGGAGCTTTATAAGAGCCGATCCCTGTCGCCTCCCACGAGACAGAACGCTGAGCAATGAATCCACCCGTCAGAAATCTCAGTTATTCATGCATAACTCCTCCAGCGGTGTGGAAATACAGTCATCATCTCAGTTATGATGCTGTTACATCACTGCTGTTCAAGAGACAAGAGACATGTTTTTATCAGCTGTTTGGACTCTCATTCTGACGGCACCCATTCACTGCAGAGCATCCACTGCTGAGACACTGATGCAGTGCTGCATTTCTACAAACCTGATGAAGAAACAAACTCATACTGATCTCAGATGAACTGAGGGTGAACACAT